TACAGCATGGAGGGACCTGGTGAGTATTATGCTAAGCAAAATAAGCCAGTCAGAGAAAGACAAGTATCATATGATCTCAGTCATATGTGGAATCTAATGAACAAAATATATCCAGAGGCACAGAAGCAGGGAACAGACTGATAAATCTCAGAGGGAAAGTGAGGGAAGGGAGAGGGAGTGGTGGTACAGGGAGAGATTAACCAGAGAATTTATATTTATATGCCTTTATGCATAACCCATGGACACAGGCAATAGTGCGGTGAAGGCCTTGGGGGGCAGGTGCAGGGTGGAGGGGACCAATGGGGGAAAAAGGAGACATCTGTAATACTTTCAATAATAAAGATAATTAAAATTAATTAATTAAGCCACAAAAAAAGATATAGGGAAAATAATGCATAATCATGCTTTTTAAGCATTTGAATATATGTTTGGAGGACAAGAGAAAAAATAGCAGTAGAATAAATATTCACATATAGATATTTGGTTTAATTTGAACAATTATTGAACACATCTTGGGCACCTATCGTGTGACTGATTGGAGCTCTAGGCTTGCCAGGGAGCCCGTGGCTTTGGAATTTGTGGCAACAGTGCCATCAGTGAGACACCAACACCATCACTAATACTACTGGTGACTGCTATTCAGTCAGCACGGTGTGATAGACACTATGCTAAGCACTCACAAATATCATCTCATTTAAATCTCCATGAGAAGTTTGTGAGATGGCATTCTTATCCAGATTTTGAAGTTGAAGAAATTGAGACGAGAAATGTCTAGATACTTTCCAAGGTCAGCCAACTGGAAAATGTCAGAATCCAGATTGCAACCCAAGTCATCTGATTTCTAAATTCAGGCTCTAACCACTATTCCATGCGTCTTCCCTGAAGCTTATTTTAAATTCTCCTGTTTGCTGCTCTTTTACAGGAGTCTCAGTAGCTTTCCACCAGACCACAGGGCTCTGGGCGTTTGACGTCATATTTTTTCTGCTCTGCCCACTTCCCCCAACGAATTCCATGTGGAGGATGGAGCAGCATTGGAAGGGCAGGTAAAGGAGATCTTCCTGCAGAGCTTAGCATGAATAGTTAGGTGGGTAAGTGATGGAGGCAGATGATAAGAGAAAAGTGTGTGTGTGTGTGTGTGTGTATTTTTTCCCCTCCACTGATTTAGTTATAAGGATAAAGCCAGTTAGTAAAGTAATCGAGCCTCTTTCTCACATTTTTAAAACTAAAACATTTCCTTCCTTGGTGTCTAAGACAGCCGTGGGCAAACTACGGCCTGCGGGCCAGATCCGGCCTATTTGAAATGAATAAAACTAAAAAAAAAAAAAAAGACCATACCCTTTTATGTAATGATGTTTACTTTGAATTTATATTAGTTCACACAAACACTCCATCCATGCTTTTGTTCCGGCCCTCCGGTCCAGTTTAAGAACCCATTGTGGCCCTCGAGTCAAAAAGTTTGCCCACCCCTGGAAGACCTGAGAATATTCAAGGACAAAGGACTTTCTGGACAGATTCCTCTACTCCTGCACACACCCTGGGTGCTTGATCGAGGCTTGCTTCTAAGCAAGACTACCACTTCCTTCCAGTTATCTATTGCTGTGAAATGAACTACCTGCAAACGATGGCACACATTGCACATGGTTATCTCCCAGGGTTCTGTGGGCTGCCTGGGCTGAGCTGAGCTGGTCTCACTCGGGGGCTCTCACACAGTTGAGGTTAGTGGCTGCGTCTGGAGTCATTGGAAGCCTTCCTCCCTGGAGCCTAAATTTGAGTGGCTGGAAAGCCTGGGGCAGCCTGGGCTTGTCTGCATGGAGCCTCCTCACCCAGCTAGCATGGGGTTCCTCACAGCATGGTGGTCTCAGGGTAATTAGTGGTCGTGCACTGGGGCTGGCTTGTACCAACATGTCAGAGCCGATTCTGTGTGTTTCTTTCCAACCCTGCATTCAGTGCTGTCGCTTTGGTAGCTGGAAATTGGCCATAGTGGAAGGGAGTATTTTTACCATGAAAACGAACAAACACTGCAAATCAGGGTTTTTCTCTTCTCTCCCTGCCCCCCACCCCCAGACAGCCAGGGTGCTAGCACATGAATTTATATGGTGGCTGGCTCCCGGCCCAGAATGAGTGAGCCAAGACAACCCAAGAGGAAGCAGCAAAGCTTCTTAGAACCTAGCCATGGGAGTCCCCAGATGTCACTTTCTTCTTATTCCATTGGTCAAACAAGTCCCTAAAGCTAGCCCTAATTCAAGAGGAGGAGAGCTATCATCCATGTCCCATGGAAGAGTAGCAAGTAAATTGTGTAACATAGGACCTGGTACAGAGTAGGCACTCAATAAGCACTTGGTGAATGAATGAATGAGTCAAGTCACGTAAACACTAATCCATATAATCCTTAAATCACTTGTAAGTATAACGCTTTCTGGGAAGTTTTATTTCATCATCAGAGAGACCAATGAATTTTAAGTCCTCAAAAACCCTAAATCTAAAAATTCCTTGATATAGATCTACTCACCCTCTGCCTGCAGGTGTTCACAGATCTGATCTGTGTATGCAAGCCCTCCCTGCTTATCTACTTGACTGCTGCTGTGCACATGACAATTGCAGAATGCTTGTGTTATAGATGTTTTTATACTATTTATATCTCCTTTGCTTCCCTGAGTAAATAGCAAATTCCTTAAGAGAGTTCTCATGTGTTTCTTTGCCACTCCTCCTTCCTACCGTGTCGAAAACAGGTCATTATACATGTACATACACACGAATGCTCACAAGATATATGATGGTTAGAGATTATAAGCCTTAACAGGGAAGGAAGTAAAAATTCTTAATTGCTATGTTTCAGAGCCTTCCCTAAATGTTCTAATTGAACCCTTATGTTCGTCCAGTGAAGTAGGCATTATTACTTCCACTTCCCAGGTCAGGAAAACGTGTCTCCGGAAGGGTCAGCAGTCTGGTCAAGGCTACATAGAAGTGGAGGAGCTGGGATTCAAATGCAGACCCGCATGGCTCCAAGGCCCGAGCTTTATGCACCCACCCCCACCTACCCCCGTTCTCTCTGCCTCCCTCCTTGAAGGATCTACAAGAGTCATAAAAATGCTGTTTCTAAACCCCAAGAGGGGAACAGGTGTTTCAAGTTCTGCTCTTGTTTAAAAAAATGTCCTTTAAAAGCTTGGGAAGATAAGAAGTTTAAAATGCGTCAGGAAGGAAGTGAGCCTGGTATCAGGGAGGTCAGCTGGAAGGTTATTGCAATGACTAAGGCAAAGAGCATTAGCAGGTTGGACCAAGGTGGTGGTAGTGGAGTGGAGCGATGTGAAAACTTTTGAGGGATATTAAGAAGACAGTCACAGGCTAGAGGATGATTGGTTTGTGTGGGTGCTGATCACTCACTGTAGAATCATCTGGCCGCACCAGGATGGCAAGGCTAAAGAGAGGAAGCCTGTGTGGGAGGTTTCTATAATCCTGGAAGAAGATGATAAGGGCTTGTTAAACTAGGAAAAGAGCCATGGAACTGAAAGAATGCAAGAATTTGAGAGATTATATGGAGGCAGAATCTGTTGGATGTGTTGTCAAACTGGATGTGGGAGTGTGAGGACAAAGGAGAGGTCAAGGGTGAAGTCCAGAAATCTGTTATGGACAACCAGATGCTTTTTACGGAGCCAGGGACACAAAAGGGGGAGCAGATTTCAGGTAAGGATAAACTCTGGATGCGCCAAGGGAGAGGTAAACGTGTCAGCAGGTGCTGGCAGCCAATATGCAATTGCATTTATAACAAAACATCCTTATCTTATCTAATGAGATTCTTGCTCCCTTCAGAGGTTAAAAATGAACATACCACCAGCCAGTGTGGCTCAATGGGTGAGCATCAACTTATAACCAGGAGGTCATGGTTCGATTCCTGGTCAGGCCACATGCCCGGGTTGCAGGCTCAGTCCCCAGTGGGGGGCATGCAGGAAGCAGCATGTTGATGATTCTCTCTCACAATTGATGTTTCTAACTCTATCCCTCTCCCTTCCTCTCTAAAATCAATATATCAATATATGTGTGTATATATACATATATTTAAAAAGGAACATATCAAATACTATGTGTAGTAGGGTTGTGTGTCAGGTAATAAAAGGCTTTTGCAAGTCTCAATGTTTTCACTTCACGGTGGTTCAACTCTCTCCAAACGCCATTTATCACCCTGTAGGCGCCTCCATCATAACCGAGATGCCTTTATTGAGCCTCCAAAGCTAATAAGAGATGTGTGATTCAATCAGGGACAGTGACTCATGTAACCCATTGAAAGTGCTGCGGGGAGACTTCAGTGGTTCCTCAGGTCACAGGTCTGCCTGCACACACACACACACACACACACACACACACACATACCCCAAAACTCATGCTCATTTTCTTAGAAGCCAAGACAGGCGCAAAGATGTGTTTGCACACTTCTGCGCACCCTCCCTCCCCCCGCCCCCCCAAGCAGGACAGCCATTGTTTACACAGGTGCCTGCATGTCAGGGCAGGAAGCCGGCCCCTTTGTCTCCTCCTCTCTGAGGAAGATGGAGCATTCACCTCGGTGAGTGAGCAAATAAAGGCTCTTGGGAGAGTTGCTGCCTTCCTGCGCATCAGCTTTTGTCATGAGATCCTACAGGAGTTCTACCCAAACGCAAAGCCAGCCCTTAGGAAGGCGAAGTGGGCAGGAGAGTCCCAACCCCAAGCAAACCACCTGTAGGCGCTTCCCCATGTGCCTGTTACACAACTCTCAGCACAGGCACCGAAACCGAGCTCGGATTAGAGTTCCCTGCCCACGGTGAGCACCCCTACTTTCGTGCCCAGCTGCGTGGGGTGCTCCTCATCCAGCTCAGAGCCCGCTGGCCCCCCCAGGTGATACCAGATGGCTGGGAACCCACTGGCCTCCTCACCCAATCCCAAGTCCCTGGACTTGACTCCACCTTTACCCAGAGATGCCCCGAAAATAAAGCTTTCTTGGGTGAAAACCCACGAAATCAGAGCTTGCTTACCTGAGAGAAGGTCCTGGCGACCGGCAGCAGAAAAAACAAGTCCTCACAGAAGTGACAGGGACTCACAGGACGAATCTGTTGGTTTCAAAAGAAGAAAGGTGACTTCATCCCCGGTGCCCTGGAGTTGAAAAGAGCAACGAGTGCTCCCTGGCTGAGCCAACTCTGCCTCATCGGTGATGACTCCATCCAAATTATGCAGCCGCTGCCCAGACATGCTCACACTCCAGAAGGTAAATCTCTGGAATCTGACTAGCCCTGTTTTCAAAGAGCTTCAGCGAGTCCTAAAGCACCAATCACCTTGCCCAGCACCAGGGACAGAAAAAACAAACACTATTTCCCTGCACCATATCATTGTCTCCCAAGAATCCCCCTGTCTGGAAAACAGCTCCTCAGGAAGGAAGACAGGTATTTAAATTCCTGAGGGGTAAAAATTTTGCAGGAAGGAGGGTATAGAAAAGAAGCAAATATATTTCAGTCAGGATGAGGGGCGGTAAGAAGCTGGAAATAGCCCAGTCAGCGCCGCTCAGTGGTTGAGCATCAATCGATGAACCAGGAGGTCACAGCTCCGTTCCCAGTCAGGGCACATGCCTGGGTTGCGGGCTCGATTCCCAGTGTGGGGTGTGCATGAAGCAGCCGATCAATGATTCTCCCTCACCACTGATATTTCTATCTCTTCCTCTCCTTTCCTCTCTGAAATCAATTTTTAAAAAACGTTTTTCTTAAAGAAGCTGGAAATAGTCACCTTGCTAAAAAGTTTCCAAAGCTGGTGGAAGCATACAAAGGTGACAAATAAGTGACAGTTTGGACTTGGTAGAGGGGAAGGTATTCAGTTAAGCAAAAGGATGAGTCACTTTTCAGAAAGTGCAATGGCCTTTCTAATGAAGGCAGCGAATTTCTATTTTCTTTTTACTGAATGTGGTGTCACTCAACCAAATTGTCACATTAACATATCAGCTCAAAACATGCTCACATTCCACCAAGAAGACTTGGGAAAGGGGGCGTTTAAGTAAGGAATTTTCTCTTTTGTATGTTAAAGGTGAGGCTGGACAATTTAATTGGTAACATGGGATTCAAGGTCACGTCAAGCTATCCGGTAGGCCAAGCACCTCTCCTTGATGCCATGTGCTTGGGCTAATCTTTGGACAGGACTTCTGACTGTGGTGCTAAGGCAAGGAATAGCAATGGTGTGACCTCTGTTGGAAGTGGGGCAGAAGGTTGAGCATGCTTACCCAGTGCCCTTTCCCTCTCACCCCTACTTCAGGAGACTGTAAGGGGACTTTGGGTCACTAGGCATGTGTTCAATTTCTTGCTAAGCTATTTAGAGGCTTTGGAATCTTCTCGTGTCAAGCTTCACTCTAGAGAGAGTAAAATAAGTAAAACTCTCTTTCTTTTTAGATAGAGATATTCAGGCCCAATATTAAAAAGGCTTTTTTGAACTCAGAGACTTAAGAAATATCAACATGGCAGCCTGGCCAGGTAGCTCAGTTGGTTGAAGCATTGTCCCGATATGCCAAGATTGTGGGTACAATCCCTGGTCAGAGCACATACAAGAATCAACCAATGAATAAGTGGAACAACAAATCAATGTTTTTCTCTCTCTCAAAATTAATTAATTAAAATATTTTTTAAGTAAAAAAGTCAACATGGCTTATAAAAGGAACTTGTAAGTCTCCTGGTCAGGGTGTAAATAACAAGAAACGTAGAAGAGAGGCAGAGTTTTATCAGTGGTAAGATGAATAAAAGGACAGGAGTCATTTTTATGCACTTCATCATAATCTCCTCAAAGCCTAGTACACAAAGCAGCACACAGTCGGCGCTCAGTAGGTAGAAAGTAAATAGTGCCAGACAGCCCCATTCCAGTTGCAGATTTCTAGAACAGATCTGTTGAGTCACCATCCGGTAGACAAGGCAAGTGCAGAGAGCATGAGCCAGGGGGTCTTACGGAATGCAAGAGGAACTTGCATGTGTTTTGCCCCAGCCCCCTGGTTCATTGCCAAAGTTAGAATAGAGCAAAGAAAGCCAATTTCTTCTGGACCCGGAAGCCTCCTTTGTCCACTCTGTTCCCCTTACACATCAGCTAGATTTCAGGATCTTTCCCCAGGGCCAGGACTCTAATGGGAAATCTGCCAACTATTCCAATGTTTGTTCTCAACAGTCTATCATACAATTTTCAGACTTAGAGATGTGTTGAAAAACGTTTACAATTAACATGCATATACCCACCTCGTAGTTCCTTCAGTTGACATTTTACTGTATTGTCTTTACCACATATTGATTCTCTGTCTATTCCTCTATCCACCTAGTAACTCATTTAATTAATTTTGTTATTGTGTTCCAAAGTAAGTTGTAGATATTGATTTCTCCCAAATGTTATTAACCAGAGTTCAATATTTATTTACAAATATTTTTTCCAGTGCTCTCATATCATTTCCCCCTCCTACCAACAATGCGTAAGAGTTTTAGTTGTTTTATATTCTTCTGATGACAATTGGTGTAGTAGTTATTTCAACACCACTTGTTGAAAAAACTTTCCTTTCCCAGTGGGTTGCTTTGACATCCTTGTTGAAAATAAATGTGTAAATGTGGATCTATTTCTTGGTTCTTTACTCTGTTCTATCAATTTGTTTGTTGATTATGTGGGGGTGGGGGGGATGGACTTGTATCAGTACCACACTGTCTTGATTACTGTAGTTTAGGGTAAACCTTGAAGTCAAGTAGTATAAGTCTACAATCTTGACTTCTTTTTTCAAGACTTCTTCAATATTATAAGTTCTTTGCATTTCTAGAGAAATTTTAGAACCAGCATGCTACTTTTGATGAAAAAGCATAGAATTATTATTAAGATTGTACTAAATTCATAAATCAACTTGGCAATTGCTATCTTAACGACACTGAATCTTTCAATCAATTAACTTGTTAAATCTCTCCATTTATTTACACCTTTAATTTCTCTCAGCATTGTTTTGTTGATTTTCTCTTTGTCATTGATTTTCAGCACTTTGATTATGATATGCCTAAGTATTTTTATTTTGTTTGGTTTTTATATGAATCTTTCTTGGTGTTTATTAAGGTTTTGGAGTCTGGACTCTTTTACCAAATTTATGAACTTTTCATCCATTATTTATTCGATTATGTTTCTGTGTCATCCTTTCTCTCCTCTCCTCCTGGGACTCTAATTATAATACACAGACCTTTTGGTATTAATGCAAATATCTTTTGGATCATTTCTGCTAATGTACTAATTCATTGACTTTTCCTTCTTTCATCTTTGTTGTGCTTAAGAACATCCATTGAATTTCTATTTTAGCTATTTATGTTTTAGTTTCTGTATCTGGCTCCTTGCTCTGGAGTCTGTCTAACATTTAACCTTTCAGTTTTAATGCTGTTTTTCAATTCTGACTTCAGAATTTGAGAAGACCACCCTTAACCAGAAATTGCTGCAAAACTGTGCATTGCAGGTCAGGTGGCCTGCCTGCCAGGTGTGGAACCCAGTGACTGGGGCATAAATATCTACCACCGGCCCATTTCTCCCATCTCTCCATCTTGTCCCAGGGGAACTGATCAGCAACACAGCACTGAGCCTAGTTTTGTTTACCCAGGCGGCACAATAGAAGCTCCCGGGAGATTGTAAAATACCTATTCTTAGGCCCTGCCCCAGAACAGTTAACTTAGAAAGAGGGGTGGTGGTGGTGATGATGTTCAAGCATTGTTATTTCTGTCAGAGTGCCCCAGGGACTTGGAGTATGACCCAGGGTGAGAAATATCAGTGAGGCAACTTGATGGCCCATCCCCCTGGGCTGTGGGTGGATCTGAAATGATCCTTCCTGCTACTGGTGAAGGCAGCATAGAGGAAAGTGCGAGGCATTACAACAAAATAGGCTACGGTTGAATCCCTGCTTTCCATTTACTGGTTGTGTGACATTGGCTAAGTTACTGAATATCTCTGACATTTCATTTAGCTAACAGTAAAAGAGGCAAAATAAGAGAACCTACAAGACTCAATGAGATGCCATTATATAAAGCAACTGGCACACAGTGAGTACCTGATAGCCATTCTCTCCTTCCCTCCCTACTTGCCCCCTCCCCCGACCCCCAACTCCCACCCTACCTCCTCCTGCCGAGTCAGCTACCCGTAGCTTGGTTTTGTGCTTGTTCTCCTTGGTCTGCCCATGACCATGACATCAGTCTGGATATGCAGCCCTGGACCCTGGATCTGACATTTTGATCTCAGCTTCTGAACTTGATCTGGCTCTTCTTTCCTGCCATGCAGGTTTTGGGCCCAGTTTCCATCACCTGTTTCTGTTGCTCAGCTCTAAGCCCCAGTGGGCCAGTTTCTAAAAGTAACTGGCCCCCTGTTGCTCCAGCTCCAGCTGAGTTTTAGCACCAGGAGGGGGTGGGGCTAATTTTAGACTTGTCCTGAACTAACATCTGAGAAAAGGCAAGGCCAGGCCAGTCCAATCTGTCTTCTTCATATCTGGGGTGGAGTTTACAGAGAAAAGTTGGGGAGATTTTGCCACAGGGTTTGTGTTTCTGTATCAAGCCAGGCACCTTATATGGAAACATAATACAGGAAACCGTGTGCCTCAAAATCTATTTGGATTTGAGCCTCGGGTGTTGTGCTGAGTGGGAGTAATAACAATGTAAATTGCAATTTTTGATATGCTCATACTTGTTCTCGGCTGGGATGGGTTGTTAGCTAGCGTCAGGGACAGGACCAGGCAGGTGTGAGCAGAGTCCTGGGCCTGAGACCCTGCAGGGAAGAGGCTAATGAAGAGAAAAGATAGAATAGGCTATTGATTTGTTTGTGTTTCAGAGAAGCTGAGAGGAAATAAGAGGAAGCAATGCCGTGACTGAAAGCCCTAACTGAGAGAAGCAGGGATGGCACAGCAGCTCCTAGAACAGCTGGGCCCAGAGGAGGGGTTGAATGACTGTTGGTTGCAGGAAGGTGGAGCGAAAGGCCTCTACAGTGGGGAAGAAGAGATGTGTTGGGTTGCCCTGTGAGTATCTTGTGCTTTGGCAGGAAGAGCAACCAGCTCACAGCAAATTGGGCATCAACGGGCTGTCCAGGGACCCACAACATCAGAAGAAGTGTGTGACCTCTGGGTAGAGGGAAATTAGCACTTATGTGGTCAGGCCTCCAAAGTAGGCTTGGACTTACAGGATGAA